TGTTTAAGCCCTGCTTTGGACTGACGTTGAAAACTTATCCCCTTAACCCCTCATTGAGCCAACTGTAAATAGGTAGGTCATTCAGGCTGGGTAGTCAAAGATGCATATATGTGACACTACCTTCGTAACTTCCTTGTGTGCTATTGGCTGGAGAAACTGGCATGTCTTAACAATATTAACCTGGTTGACTGTTTGATCTGACCTTTTCAAAGCCATTGAAAATTTGGCCCTAGGCATGAGAGAACGCATCCGATGGAAACTGCTTATCAAAGGGTCCAAGCACTATTCACCCAGCAGTTCCATTACCATCGGTTAAGTCAGTGATTCTCAGGCAGGGTGCCATTGCACCCTGGAATACCTTGAGATCTTTTCAAGAGTGCCTCAGGGTGCATTGCAATATTACCACTGTGACAAGATAAATGTGGAGATTTCCAATAGGAATTCATAATGTTAAAAACCTTCTGACCCATTGCGGTCTTTGCAATACAGTTGCTCTATTAGTTGTCTGTAGTCAAAAAACAAGTGAAAACTAAAAACTGGCATTTTCCAAGGGACACCTTGAGTCTAAAAAATTTGAGAACCATTGAGTTAAGTTGTGTGATACCTGCAGCAGAGATACGTATAGGCAAAGGTTCTGCAGCCAAAACCCTCTGCAGTGATCTCTGGGAACTCTTAACCCATCTTTTGGCTCCCATCAAACCCTTGCCTTTGGCTGGCATAGGGAGAAAGGATCTCGCCTTACAGTGAATGCAGACCTGGTTTGCATTAGCTTCCCCTCCTGCCAGGAATCTCTGGCCTCACAGGAGAGAATGCACAGATCCTGGGAAGAGGAAGAATGCCTCAGAAACAGCTGATTCCCAGATCCATAAGAAAAGACAAGGATCATTCCCAAAGTGGCCCCCGTATGCCTGATCTGAAAGAAACAACACCAACCACTGTTAAGGACTTTTAAAAAGGTGGAATCAAGGCTTAGTCCATCAGCAGGAAATGTCATAAGATTTAACTGTTTATCAACTTCTGCAAATGTCTGCAGGCAACAGAACAAGTTCATTAATGACCCCAGCATATTAATAGTAGACATTTAGAATGTTTTAAATTGCTTATTACAGAGCCTCTGATGTGGCTCTGAAGTAAAATGTTTTGTTTTAAATTACTGCACGGTGTAGAGCATTTTTCACCATGACTCACGTTATGTAATTAATCTGATTTAGACATTTGTTTTAAATAAAAAAGGAGGAGTCAACATGATAAATTTAAGCTATACAAAATTGCCTTTAAAAAAATTAACCCTTGTTGAAATAAAGAAACCTAGAACAATACTTGGACTGAGATTCTTTTAGGAAATGTAATAGTGTAAGATCCATTAAAATGCAGTCTTATAATAGAAAGGCAGACAAAGCCTTTGCTGCCACTTCAAATCCCTATTTCAGTTTTTGGGAAGAAAGTTCACTAAGAATTCAGTGTCACAAGCAAAGAGAAAACTCCTTTCTAGCTAACATGTTAGTGAAAACCTTTAATCCTACTATCCACCAACACCACAAACATTTGATTTAGATTTGTTTTAGGTCACTGGGGAAAGTCAGGAAGGGGGTGGAATGGACTTGAAAATAATTATCCTCCTTTGGCATGGTTTTCTGTAGAGGTCTGTCAACTAACTGGAGGTTTCACTTCTTTTTCAACTCAAGAAAGGAAGGCCTTGGAGTGTAATGGCTTCTATCACTGTTACATCTGTAATATGTTACAACTCACCTGAACAAAAGTGAAAAAGGAACGCTCTCTAACACCAGGGTCCGCTTACACCAGATAACAAAGAGAGGCAGAGAGATTCCTGTGAGTGCAGTGGGGAAAGGTCAGAGGCAGCAGAGTGAAGTCCTATGTGTTTCTGCATTTCTTTGTGGAATAGGCAAGCTGTCCGTCAGTCCAGTTTGCCTTGCTCAAGCAAAACTGGCTGAATCAGCGTGTAAATGGGACAGGAGGATGTCAGAAAGTGTCTTCATTAACTGAGTGGTTTCTTTGGGCTTGTTT